ATATTAGCATTTAAATTGGATCAAAAGGTTGCGCCATTGACTCAAATTGTTCCGGGTCTACAGAACGTTTTCCATGGCCTCCTCGGGTTCTTAATAGCAAGCTCACCGCAGCAGAGGCCCGGAAAATCCCATAGTTCGTAGAAAAGACGGAAAGGTCAAAAGTGACTTTTTATATATTCCATTTCTATCAATGGCTGGTTTTACCCTCTATGCCTTCCATTTGAAATTCCATAGGTCTTCAAGAGAATGAGAGCTTTGTTGTTCCCTGGAGAAATTGATCATGAAATAGCGAAGGACGGTTTCGGTGAACTTGATATCCCATAAGGGTCCTCTTTGAAATTGAATGGTTAAAAAAGTGGGCCAACTGGCCTATTAGAACATGTCGCCTTCAAAGCATCATCTCATATACGTAATGTCTTTGAAGAAACCGCTAAAACTGTCCTTTTTTGCAGATTAGTTACTGAGACAAAACCTTTGCCCAGAAGGAGACGTTGGGATTTTAACAGCGTTCTCAAATTGACGAAAAAAAGATCCGTCTCTTTCAAAAGACTCAGAGTCCTCGAGGAATCCCATCGATGGGCGTGTCCAACGGCTCTGTAAAGGCGTTGTCGAGCAAGGACTGTGTTGAAGTCATTGAGATACTGTATCCACTCGTTACAGTACTCGTTCAACAGTGTATGAAAACTTGCAAATATTTTTGTCATTGTATTCTCCTACAAGACTAGAAGTGCTATGGTTCGAGAAAGTTTGAATTTTTTGAATTTCTTATTCTCCATCGATTTCCTCGCCAGTCTGTGTGACGACGGAATAACTGCGAAACGATGAGGATCCAGAAATTCTACTTGCCATCGGAAAGAGATCTCTCAAAAACTGAGAACCTGTTGGCAGCATGTGCGATCTGTACATGAGAATGTCTGAAAATCTTGTTATTCATAAATTTTACAGGAGGCGAAGATGGGCAGTGGCATTTGGCGTCGCTGCCTCACTCCAGGGCCTCAAATGTAATCGCACTCATGCCCTTTACCAGACCCTTCATATCAGGCCTATCAAATTAGGGAAAATTTTCGGCGTTTATGTCAAATAGTACCCGTAGATCACTGTTGAACTGGAATTTTACATATTTTTGTATTTTCTTGTAATGGTCGGAATAACATTCGGATGCCACTTCGAGAAACACGACTATCGGTTCATTTTTTCTGTTCTCTTTTTCTTTTTTTTTGCGATTGGTTTATAGTTCTTTTCCAGGTTTATCGTTCCATTTGAAGGTGCGTAACTGCACTAAACAATTTTGAAATGTTTGTGATAATCTAATCGCACTTGTTTTGATTTATGTGCCATTTGCCTATTTTCCCATGAGAATCCTTACTGTTGATTCTTCCATTTTCTCATTTCGTTTCGATTTCCGCTATGTACGTTCCATTCGTGTACTATAACGCTACCTCCTATTCCTTAGATTCGACCATTCTGAAGTTTTTTTAGCCTTATTGATGTACCCGTTCAACCACATGTCGATGAGGCGAACGAGATCCGAGTTATTAGCAACTCCAGAGACGATCTCATTAAGTCTGCCAACTCGACCTCCCTTGAAGGATTTATCGGATGTTAACGGACACCTCGTAACGGATAGGCAACGTTATAAGACGAGTCCAAAAGAATCTTGGAGGTCAGTATAATTTTCTACCAGTTTTCGTTCCTCAGCTTTCATTCGATCATCTTGTAATCATTACCGGAAAAACGCTAACGAGGCGGAAGTGGCGCCATAATCGAAGACATTAGGCTCTTGTCAGCAATTCTTCATATCTCGTCAGACTAATCCTTTTTTCCGGAGCACATTAACTGTGATCTCTGACGTAAGCCTGAAAACCAGACCTACATATCATAGAAGGAGTTAAGTAGAAAGGAAATTTATCAAACATCAAATAGGTCAAATAATATCTAACAGCATGGCCGCTATCAGAACTTGATCCCCGGATCGTATGCGTATCAAGGGGCTCAGAGCTCAGGGCTTCCCTTGAACCGAACAGTACTGTAGAAGACCCGTTTGGATACCGCTAAACCCATGCGTCGTACCTGTGGTGAAAAGCTCCCATACTTCTAACTGTTTTGGCTTTCCTGAATAACTCATACTCTTCTTTATGGAAGTAAGGGCCTTCACTACATATTCAAGGAACTGAACTTTGGGGCTTACATTTGCTATAACTATAAATTTCTTCCAATTTTTATTACAGTTCCAAGGGAGCCAGCGTTTCGCGATCGATCCACTCGGTTCTGATGACTTTGCAGATTATGGCATTATTTCCAAATCCCAATTCGAATCGGAAACCCCGTTGGAGAAGAGCTACGGTAAGTCGGAATTTGTTTTATTGGCGTCAGAAAAAAGTTATGATGAATTTAATAAGTACACTGTTGCAAATGAAAACGATAATGAACGTTCACTTCTGAACGAAAAGTTCTAATATTGCTTAACCACTTGAAAATTTAGGATTTGGGAGGAGGATAGGGAAGGATGAGGTTGAACTAGTGTGTTTTTGGCAAGTGTGGCAGCGCTGTAGGGCAGCCGTATGATGGGGAATCCACGCGAGGTGAACGGACCTCAGGTTCCAGCCAGAAGGGGGTGTGTGTTCAACCGTTTACTTCAACCTCTCCCTCTCACTCCATCCTCCAACCACCATGCTTTTCACGAAAGTACATACGCCCTTCTTCAGTGAGATCCTCTCTTTCATTTAATTCGCTTCAAGATTACCTTTTCATAAAGCCGAAGGAAAATGGCACTCTTGTATTGAGCTGAAAGTCTGATCACGGAATTAATTTTCTGACTAGTCACGGAATGCCTTTCCCAAGGAGGACGTCGCAAGGAATATGGGGTGAAAAACAGAATTCATTTATGGTAAACTAAGTTATGATGCACTTTAGTGCCCTTGTTTTATATGTATGTGATAGCATGACTAAAGAACGTTCCTGAGAAGCTTTCAGAAGCTTCATAAGGCCCACATTGAGGTTTTCGACAGACGCTATCAAGGGAACCGTGACGAGTGGGTTCCCAATAATAAGAGGGGACTTCTCGTTGAGNTGAGCCACGGTTAAAAGCATCTGATTGAGCAAGCATCTGAGCAGCAAGTATGAAATCAATTACCCGTTAGAAATGATATTTTCTTTTTAAATCCGCTCATCGTTTCCGATAGTGTTTACCAATAAAGTTAAGTTGAACCTTTCGGTAAGTATAAATTATACCAATTAGAAGATAAAATTCAAACCCAGTATAAGCTGCAAATCTTTACTCATCCAGGTGGTTGGAAAGACTTTGGGACCAGTTGTCGCTACATTGAGAAAAACACTTTCCATCCTTATTGCTGAAAGTGATACCTGCTGCTGAATTATTTAGTGAAATGTTTAGTATTTTCACCTGCAACTACCCATTTGACAATACAGCTCAACTTACATCTGATTCTGCGATTCTATTTCCTGTTTTGGCTCCCCTAGTTAGAAGGTCAGGAAGAGAAGATGTTGTAGGGAGATGGACAAGTGAGGGAAGGACGCAAATCCTCTAAGGGAGAGCGGTCGTAAGGGGAACCTGCTCCAATATCATGGACCTTGTCTACACCTCACTAACATGACATCTCTAGGTCGAGGTCGAGAATCCACACTCATTACTTTTTTCTGGAGCCCCTCAGGTCGAATCGACCTCGTTTTTAGATTTGGGTAGGGTCCATTCACGCGATTCCAATTCAGAGTTGTAGTCGCATTTCTTAAATGCGTATGAAGCCTATTCAATGGCTTACGGTGGCCAGCCAGTGCACAAGTCAGTGTTTTTATCCTCCCAGACGAGTCTGATACAAATCGACCCACACAAAAGAATGAAACGCTTGGTTGGCCTGGGACGGAGTTCAACCACCGTATCATGCGGGAATAGTGCACCACCTGCCACTATACCTACGCCCATCACTATTTTTAACTAGAATGAATAACTTTCTCTAGCAGAAACATGACTCATGTCAGACTCAAATGCCTAGTTTTCAGCGCCTCGTTCTTATGCTCAACTACTCGGCATTGGCGATACTTCTCAATTGTTACCTACTCAACAAAAACATCTGGTTGATAACAGCTTTTAGGGTGAGTAAGCAAATTTTTCTTACAGTCAACACATCTATACCAGTAGCAGGTAACGCAATTGAGGATGCAGCCTCCAGCCGCCTCTGAGGGACTTAGACCATGTTTTTTCAACCTAGAACGCTTCGTAGCCCTGTACCCCAAACAGGAACCTTGAGAATATGTCTGAGGAACACTTTCTGGCGCCACAGAGAAGGTTGGATAAGGTGGTAATCTCGGAGACGTTCACAAGAAGACCTCAACTTTAACTTTCACAGGGTCATACAGAACCTTCAGAATCCGCTGAAGCATTCTTATATTGAAGACAACGGTTGCAAAAATATTAGGATGACCTAAAGAGCACTTGTACACTACTGACCAGTCTAGATTTCATCAGATACGTATCCTGACATATCAAATCTAGAAGAACTTGTTGCTTAGATGGGAGGCTAATGGAGGAGATGGTGAAGTAGCATCTTAGCAGTCGACTGTAAGAAATATTCTGATGTTAGATCTCAACATGACTATATGCCAGACTAAATTGTTATGCATGGAAGACCTCGAAATGATCCCACCTTTTCATGAGGAAATATTGAACAATGGGAATTAGTAGCATCATGAGTCCAATTATTAACAGTCTACGTTATGAATAGACTTGTTCGCTCACTCGAGTATTATCATATGAACTAACAAAAGCATGGGGCACATGCTTCCCACAAAAAGTAGTCTTGGTCCAACTTCATGGGTTATGCATTTTGACGAGAATCTTCTCACCACGATATTGGCCCTGCTATTAGGAAAGAGACATTTAGATGAATAGAAGTGTCGGTCGAAACATACATAAGGCCAGACTATTGTAAAATTGTTACAAGTTCAAGATCTATTCACAGAATAATTGAGAATTACTCGTGAGCTTGGCACGGGATGCTCCTTTCGGCAGGAAACACTGTTTCTCATGCAGCTATACCCAGTTTTTATGCTTAAAAAGCTTAAAAAATCCTATTGGAACGAAGTGATTCCTTTTTAGGAACGATTCGGCCTTATGCATGCTTCAACGGTTTCATGTATAATCACAGGTATCAAACCGATGATCAACATATTTCTTATCGGACTATTCGTCATCCGTGTACGGGAGCATATGCGGTTGATCAAGGTATGCCGTCTTTACTAGGTTCTTTAGTATTCCCGTCGCAAACCATGCTTGTTGGAAGGCGCACTTAGAGTGAGTCAAGGTATGGGGATTTATTCCCGAGCGAAATGCCACTCTATCGGCATCTACTACTTGTCGCAGAAATTCCATACATGATTGGAACGCGCAATGTATGGCCCAGATGTGAATGATTTCTCACGGTCTCAGTAGGTGACTACGGTAGCTGCAGAAGATTTAGCGCGGGCTCGCGCGTATTTGGGGATTCGGGAATAAGGTCGCCATCCGCTTGTGACGCATTTGACACCTGCCTATCCTTCGAAAATCAGCTTGCTAGAATAGGAGTCAGCCGAGGACAAGGCAATAAATAAATGATTACTACTCAGCCTGAAAATCCTCATCGTTGGTTCAACGTTGATATCTCGAATTATATCTGATTTACAGCGCTTTTCTTTGTTTCCACTTACAATTAGACGGTCACCCGTCACTTGCATTTAAGCTTTATTGCTTGATACGTCCATTTTCCTCTAAAAAGAATTTTCTAATGCAGGAAAATGGGTTACCTGCTTCTGAGAGATTTCCAGCTGTTTAAAAAGGCTTATCTTTTCTAAAAACAATTTTTTCGTTTTTCAGACATTGGACACAATCGATTTCTGTTTTCGTAGTGCCTTTCACGTATCACCACCGACTCGATTTTATGTGGCCGTATTTTTTGTTATTGTCGGGTTTTTCACTGTGATACCATTTACGTTCAAGGTCGTCGAATTCATCTACACTGATCAAAAGTATGTACAGTAGCTTCAGACAATTTTTTCCAAGAAATTCCTAGTTTAAAAAATTATTCGTTTAGGTTCGGTTCAAGCGTTATACAGGACACGGCATTTATTATCGTGCCCACATTATCCCTATGGAATATCATCCCATTGCTTTACTATCATTTATACAATCGCCTTGTCCGATTCTATTGCAGGTTGGAACCACATCATTTTTTCCCAGTTTCTCGTCAGAATTCTGATTGGAACTGTATTATATCTTTTAATGCTATTTTTAATATGTTTGGCTAAACTTTTTCACGAAATTTATCATTTGTTTGAAGACTTTTCTCCATTTTCGGCCACCAATTTTCTCATGCCCTCACAATTATACGAATAATGCAGCTTTTACAAACGATTTAGGGATAAGGGCAGTCATTCCCAAATTCTATGGCTAAGTAAAAGATAATCACATTGGCAAGTAAATAATTTGAGCGATTTGGGGGAGGGAGGGACTAGTTGATCTAATGGTGCCAGAACTGAGGTATCCAGCATCATCCAAGTATGATGTTGCAAGTGACTGCGCAGACTAATTCGGCATCCGTACACAGTAATCATTTTGGAAGTCGGATACATGGCTCATCTCAGCTCAGCAATGGCCATTTCCCTCATATCCTTGCTTGGACAGTTACGCTTGTCCTTTATTTTTTCTCCATATGCCACTGGCATTGCCAAACCCTATCCTTTTGCCACAAAAGGATAGAATTTTATTTATTTCAGTGAGCTGTGGTATTTACAAGAAATTACTTGGAGTAGATATGTAAACGTAAACTTGCCTTGTCATGCTTAAAAATGAGTAAACATTTTTTCAGGACACTTGTAAAATCGCTCGATCTCGAACATCGTAAAAGACGTTTTAGCCTCAAATTTTACTACGAGCAATTTTTACGGATCACTAGTGCTCAGGCAAGTCATTTCCACCTCATGCTCTTCATTTGATTAATCCATTGATAGACCACAAAGTATAATTATTATAGGAAGCCGTTGGTAACCTATTCAACCCTTTTATTTTGTTCTCGCTGGCTTGGTCAATGCTCGTACTGTGCCTTACCATATATTTCATAACGCAACCACATTCTAGGTTTGTTTAGTTATATTTCAAGATTCTCTTTTTGTACCTGAGCAACCTGGATCTGCTGTAAGCGGCGCCGCACTGCTCGTATAGCCAAAGATCGACGATTGAAATAGATTCCTTGCTCTCGGTATTGTAGTGGTACCGAAATTCTAAGCGACCGAGCCTTTCATCCTACGGAGTCGGCTAATTGCTACCAGACTCATTTGAGAGGATCAAAGCACTGACATCGGTTGGTCGCCTCAACTCATTGTATAGGCCACATACGCATCCAATACATCACTAGGATTCTGAATGGAAGTCGAATGCTGGGGCGCATCCTTCAGACGAGATCGATTAACACCAAAAAGATTCAGTCTTCATTACACCCTATCTGGGCCATTTTTCGACCCGACCGCGTCCCTTGTGCTATCCTTGGAGGTCTCATGTCTCCTCTAGGAAGAAATCTCAGGAATCATGCTTATCATAAACTGTGCTGTAGACGTTACGACATAGTAAATACCTGAAAATATATTATGATATCCAATGATATTCAAATTTAGCCTGTTGGAGCCGATATCGCCAGAACAGATTACGGTACCGGAAATTAGGATTCGATTGACCCGCAGCGTTCACTTTACAATTTGTTGGGCCGGTCTGCAGGTGTTAGTGGCTCTGATGCATATCGTCATCATATGTCACACAGGAATGAATACAAACGAGACGGTTAGTAAGACTGCATAAAAAGGGGGATTTTCGAATGAATCTATCTTTTTTCAGACTCGTGGTGTTGTGACAGCTGTGCTACGGATTGTACCAGACGCAAACGCTGACCTTGATAGATTTCAGGTAAATTTTGCACGAATACCAAAGCATTTGATTATTTATGCTTCACTGGAGTCAGTGTTGTGGCCTACTTTTATCAGAGCAGCTGGAGAATGGAAATTAATGAGATGTGCCTTCATACGTGGCACTACATGTGTTTATGTGATTGTTTAAATAGTAGATTCGCGAATATGAAGTGGCAATTGGATGCATGGCGTATCCGAAATCGTGGTAATCTTCATATGCTTCAGATCTCATGTTTTGTGCACAAAATGTCAACGCAATTCATGTGGGGAATGACTGTCTGGCGAGCGTTCCCTCTTGAAAGAACCACCTTCTTCACGGTAGGTCGCATGAAAGGGGACCTTTCAATAGATGCTTCTCGAAGAAAGATTTTCAGCTTGTTTCTGTGATCGTAACCTACGCCTTTCTGTTGCTGAAGCTCAAGGAGAATCCGGCTATGACGCCTATCACTCGACAATTCATCATTCATAATAATGGCTCAATGGTATTCACTACCACCTTATCGCCTTGACAAATTGAGCTCGACTCTTGAGACTCAGTTGACGAAGATTCGAAGGTAAGGTATTACTACCGGTTGCACGTTCTGAATTCAGGTGCCTGAAATGAAAGGAATTCAGTTTTCACCCTCTACTTTTGACCTACTTAACTTACTAGTTGGACTCACGGGTGCTCGGGGAGGAGGCTGAAGTTTAGGCTTGGATTCGCGCGAGCACGCAGCGTCTTGATGAAACATATGTAGTATCGTGGCGTAGAACTACTAGCATCGTTTTCGCTACCACTAAGTCTTGCCTCCCCATCGAACGATTTTTAAATATGTAATTAATACAAGCCTCATTTAGTCTCGCAAGCTCCTACCACTCATTACCTCTTTCCTCATTCATTTAGTTTAAAATGGTGGCTCCTGGGAGTGTGATATGCCGCTCTAGCTTGAAGTGTCCCACCTGAATAGGTTCACATACGGTAGCATAGTGGCATACGACTGTATTCGATTTCACCCTTTCTGGATACCCTGTACTGGCCGCCATAAAATAGAATAGTGTGGGCTCTAGCTCCACAGAGTCTTCAGAGAGCATCTTGCTTTCGATCGACTCACTTCTGTTATACTCACGGTTTTAATGTCTTGGACGTTATAATTCGTTAAAAGGATTCTATTCTGTCCTTTTCTCAGTTGTTTTGTTTTCAGACGACTACCAGTTGTCTACAGTGACTGCCGATGGCACAGGGACATGAGGACGTACCACAGCCTTCAGCGAACCCATGGAAGCCATCACTAAGTGCCACTTCCTCAACGGAAGAATTGCTTACGCTTCAAGATTCTATGGTTTTCTTTGTGTATAACCTATGTGTTTGAATATGTGTAAATATAATATCGCTACAAACGGATTTTTCTCATTCCTTGTTGGAGTTTTTTTCAAGCACAACACCCTTCGAAGCATAGAAACTCGTACCGAGACCATGGAAATCATTATTGAATTATCCATTAACATTGGATAATTTGACGACGCCATTTAATGTCAAAAATTGGCTATTATCAATTATTCTGCGGATTTGCTAAAATTACTGTGTAATCGGTTGCAGATTCCACAAGAATCCACGTTGCCCTGAAGCATCATACATCATACAGTATGGCGAACCATGCTAGGAACCGTCGATCCCTAATTCGGTCCCTAAGCAGTGCCGTTCTTTAGCACCAAAAACAACTTCTAAAAAGCTCTGTTTCGGATAACGCCTTCGGATGATGTACGCCATGAACTTACTAACACGATCACTTGGGTCCTGCAAAACGTTTAGAATTTTGCGAGGAGTCGCCTTCCTGCCTACCGTTCAGTCAGTAAATCCCACAGAGAATCTGTACTACTTATGTCCACGTTCAGAAATAAGTCACCAGGATCATTTCACTATTGTCTTTTTTCATTCTTCATATCAAAGTTAGGAGTATCAGATCAATATACACCTCGAGTTGATCGTCATTAATTCTTCACCAGGCCAGCGAACATCTCGAAAGTCTTATAGCCACTAGCAGTTACCTAGAAAAAACTTCGATTAGCTATAAATAGTTGATTCCCACAATTATTCAGAAATGAGAAAACGTCTGCAAACCTCAGTGTAGCTTTTCATGCAAAAGTTTGGGTCCACATGGACGTTCATAGTGGATACTAACGATGGAGGTGGTCCCATCTGGAATTACAAACCCACTGACCATTGAATGATTGATTGATAGATTTAGAGGTCCATAAAGCTCACCCACAATTTATGAGTTCACCCACAAATGGAGCTCTTAAACTCATAACTTCTTATAATTTTTTCTTGACAGTTAAAGACTCAGGCGCGCTGCCCTGAAGTGATCCTTGATGATATCCCAACTTTTTCAACAACTACATAGGATCTAAACAGTATTCAAAGAGCTACGGTGGGGTGGTTTAGTGGCAAGTGGCACACTCATCACAAGGACATGGATCGGTGATGAATACCTGGTAGATATTAGCCCAGGTTGACCGATGTGAGAACATCAGTGGAATTCTTTTTTTCTATTGATATATCAATAGTTGAGAATACCACATTTTCTTCCGACAGATTACTGGGGTCGGATGAGTTTTTGCCGTAAATAATGTCGAAACAAAAAGGGAACCATGGATCTTCATTGGATCCGGCTGGCCTCTATCACTACACTCAACGGTCTCATCGAAGGGAACATGTCAAAGAGTCAAAGCCAGACTGTAAATTCTAGAGGCGTCGAGTTTCACTTCCTGAATGAAACTTGCTCTCTGAGGCCCATTATCAGCTCTTATGATATCAGATCTTGTCACTGAGCACCCACGATCCCATAACGTCCAACATAACCTATTCGGAAGCGAAGTTCCACTTAACACGGAGAGACACAAACCTAGTGATTTTAGCTTTTTGCTGCCCTTTGTCACCCGCTATGGCCTCTTATTAGCCCCTGTCGCTCGCGAACCACCTAGGGTCCCTTCACATCCCACACTACTTGTTAAAGTGCAAATCCTTCACTGTTAATACGAATAGGTCCTAGACCTAGGGACTTTCGGCATCTGCGGCTCGTCATCAGGCTTTACCACTTGTTATCAATTGCTATCGCCAAAAATCTACGATCCCTTCGCAACTCACACCACTTAATGGGCAAATGCTCCATCGCTAAGTCGAAGGAGGTGAGGGAGATTCTGTTCAAACACACACATCGACACGCACTCACTAAAAATCAACAGTCACACTTGGCGAGTTATATATAGTAGGATAGTAGAATTTCTATTGTACCTCATAGACTAGGTAGGCCCATCCGGTTTTGTTGACCATATAATTCAGAGCTTCAGCGATACTCGATACAGTATGATACTGCTGAAAGACCTGATCAGCTATGGCAGCCACATCTGGATCAGCACAGAAGTCTGAATGATTTAAGCCACTTAGAATCCGTGTACTTCTTCTGAAACGGATGAAGTCCCTAAGTCGCTCACCGTCATCGTCAGTCCTTTGCCCTTCTTTTGTATGAGCTTCGATAACACGTTTCTCGTTGGGCATCGTGTAGCTCTTCAGCGTAAGGGAAGCTAAATTGGTGGGCATCTTATAAAAGTTCCATACGAGGAAAAAGGAAAATTGTGAGCCAGAGCATTTTTACTTTGTAAAATGCTTTTCTAACGTTTTATAGCTCTCACTGTTGAGGTATTAGCTGAAGTAAACGTACGTGCACCGTCGCTTGTCTGAAAATCCATAGCGGCTTTGATTGACTTCCTGTCCTTGCAGTGAGTGATGCACCAAGATGGTCTGTAAAGGACTTTTCAATTGGACACGGTAATGAAATTTTCTGAATGGCAAGTTTTTCAAAATGAAGATCTGGACCGAAATGCATTTCTAGGAGTGTTTCATAGAGTGTTCCACCTGCACCTTTCTGTACATACCTACTGCCTTTGTGAAACTGATGGGCATCGACTTTTAAATAATTTCCTGGATTGGGAGGCTCTTAAAACTACCTTGTCCCACTATTTGAACTTAAAGGTTCAGTTCACGATCAAAATGGCTCTGAGAAATCCCCTCCTAGTAAATCTGTGGGGTCCCAGTATACTATATGTGGCTATGTCAGAATGTTAAATCGCCTGGATAGGGCGCTATAAGGGCTCAAGATTGTATCGAGTGAATGGCTGCTTTCATAGTTCGCCGGCATACGTGCCGGCGTACGTGCCGGCGTGCTGAGGCAGTGCTAGGGGGAGGAGGGAGGCAGACGCTCGGTCAGCTCTTTTGAAAGGCTGTAAACAAAGAGAGACAGAATCAAAAACCATTTGCACAAGCCCCTGGTTGTTTGTTTTTTGATCTTGTTCATCTTTGTTTTCAGCCCTTCGAA